CTGCGTCAACACTTTCTCCAGTTCTGTTGGACAGATTCCATCAGTGGACACATTTTAGTATCTCCCACTTTACACATCAAACAAACAAAAATCTGTCCTTTGAACCTGGATTACCCTCCAGTTACCATCCCATGTTTCTACTCCGCCACCCAGAAACAGTCCGCCGTAGCTTTGCCTCCACTTGCTGTGTGAGCCCACTACCGTCCCTTCCTCTTTCACCCTGGCACCTGACTGAGGCAGTATCACCACGCTGCCGCCAGCAATGCTAAATTCTCTCTCCCCGTTTTAGAGAACTTCTCAGGGGTATTCGCGTGGCTAACTAGTCTCCCTTCTGGAAACACGCATCTCTAGTGTCTGTGGCACATCACTCTTCAGGTTTTCTATCTTGCTGGTCTCCTTCCTTCCCTGTCTAGTCAGGGGCGCGGACAGCACAGTGATTAGCTCGGAGCCGAGGAGTGCTTATGACAGGGAGGACACAGGAAACAACGTTCCCTTCTCCTGCAGGCTCCAAAACTAGTCGGTACTGCAGGTGAGACATGATGGCAGGCTAGACCACAATGTTAACAATGGAGAGAGAAAAAAACGGATTTTAGCTCTATTTTAGAAGTAGAATCAGTAGAACATAGAATCGATTGGACATGAAAATTGAGGGAAAAGAAAAATCAAGGTTTCTTTCTTGAGTAACTGGTAGAATCATGGAGTTATTTGCTAAAGTTTTGAAAAGTTAAGTTTTACAATGGAATAAAGTTTAAGTGGTGACTCAGTAAAAAGCTAAATGCACATTATTCACTCAAAAATCACTGAACCTTAGAGATGATTTCATTTGATACCTTTCCACTGAAATTGATCCTTGGAAGAGGTTATGTTATTTACCCAAAGTCACACGGAGAACTGGTGACAGAAGTGGGAAAAGAACACAGTTTTCTTAGGATCCCAATAAGAAGGCACAGATCAAGATCTGGCAAGATGACTATTACTCACAAATTTGCTGAACCTCTAATATTTTAGTATTCTCTTCCCCCTGACCAATGCAATAAAGATATTGTAACAAAATGTTTGGGTTTACTGAATATGGTTAGGCACATTCATATTTCCTTAAGATAAAAATGAGGGAAATAAAGGTAGACCGAATATAAATGCCAGTGCTAGGTTATAAACGGAGTAAACTCTATTGTAAAGGTTGATCAAAACATTTACTTGTGTATACCATTTGTAGGAGGCAAGGTATGCATTAAATTCCCTCTCAAGTAGCTTACATCCTAATTTGTAAGATAACACACATACATAATTCAGGATAATAGATATTATAAGGTAGTGCTAGAAGAGTTGCCAAATTAATTAGTTAAAAACAAACAAACAAAAACATACTCTGGGGTAGTCCTTAAGAAAAGGCAAGGTTTGCCCTCAGCCTTGAATAAGTAATAATTTACAAAGTACACAGGGAAGGGGATTCCATTAAAGAAACCTATAAAGAGTGCCCAGGATAGGACCAGGCTTGGGAATGAGGCAGGGGGTGGGGAGAGTGAGCTGTTGAGATCTGGTGTACAGAGAGATTCTCGGAGGACATCTGAGCCAAGACCTGAATGATACAGGGGAATGAATGTGATGACGGGAGGAGAGAATATTCTAGGCAGAGAGAGCAAGTATGAATAAGCACATGATCTGTCTGTATATTAGGCTCTATGCATGAATATACAGAGCTTAGTTCCGTGGTAAAAGAATCAACTATGCATTCCTTAACCTGAATTTACCTAATTCCACAGATCCGCTTTCTGATCTCAGATTCTCCATCGTAACAATAATCACTACTGCACAGAACATGTGACCATGTACCTAGAAGTGTTTTAGAAACAGAAAATAGGGTGAAATTTTGTAAAAATCAGTTGAAAAAGACAAGAACGGAGAAGGTATCATAGGATGCTTAGATACATAAAGTTAAAAGCGGAGAAAGGAGTAATGATCATTGGTGATAGCTCTATTAGCAGACACCTTATGCTTTGCACACCTTTACGTGTCACTTACTGCGGATTTTTTGTACACGCTTTACGTGCCTTGCCAGACTGTAAGCTCTCTGCAGGTAGTAAGCGGATCTCAAACACGGCACCTGACACAGGCTTTTGGTCAGTACTACCCAAGGTGATATATCAAGCCAGTAATTTATTTTACATCCCTTTGAGGACGTGTGTGTTGTGTGTTCAAAATCCCACCTACTTGCAAAGGGCTGGAAAGGGCTCACGGTATCAGGAAAAGTTAACGGAAACAAGTATAGAAAACAACAGAATAGAAGCCACCTAGAAGAGGATGGAAAGAACCTTAGGTAACTGCGAATTACGACTGCTGGCCCTCCATCAGCCGACAAAAGAAGGAGGGACCCGGCCAAATCTCGGAGGACAGCATTCAGTGTACCGCAAAGTTGGGCTCTGACATTCATCCGCAGAGGCCAACTTTACGCTGGGCCAATACCCGCAAGGGGCTCTGGTCACGAGGACTCTTGCAGAAGCGTCACCTAGAGTCTCCCCGGGGCAGGTGCGGGCGCAGAGGCATCGATCTGACCCTCGGCCGCCCTGGAAGGAAGGCTGCTGGGGCTCTAACTCGGTGCCGACGCTCCTAGAGAGCAGGGCGGCCGGCGCCGCGATACCGCAGGTGCCCTGTCCCCAGGGCTCTGGGCCAGGCCCGGCCGTGCCCGCCCGGCTGCACTCAGGGGTCGGAGG